ATGTTTACTGTACGTAGTGTATGCAGTATGCATACCCTAAAGAGAAATCATAAGGTGATTCAGTAATGCTCAATATGTATTTCAATACCAATGGTATTTTCAGTGATAATGTAGTATAGTTCAGTCAGACTACTTTTCAAACATCTATCACTGAGCAAAATGACACTACAAGAGGAAGGATGAGAAGTGGATGTGGAGAGAGAGAGGTTCTTTAGGAACAAGGGACATTGCTACGTTAGAGCAGGTAAGGGTGAGAGACAATCTATGTGAGAAGTCAACTGGAATCATAAAGATTCAGTTCTTAGGGATATGAGAAAAAGTGGGAGAGAGGTACAAAAAAAAAAAAAAGGCACATCAAGAAACATCAAGTAAACACTTTGAAGAGTTGCCAAAGGTAAGGGATGCCTTTCCCTAACATCCAAGCTTTATGAGTGCCTTTCAAATTTTGTCAAGTATTCCCTATTAACACCAGCTCTTCTAGGTCTCTCTGTCGAGGAGGAAAACACAGGGAAAGGCCAGTCAATGAGCTAGTTTCACCATGTTTCATACGCAGGCATGACTCACTACATACTGCCAGAAAAAGCCTGATTCTGAGATCCTTTATGCCCCAAGGGCTGGGCATATGCTTGAGTTAGCAGAAATGATGATCAAATTCAAAAGATGTAAAGATTACAGTATTACAACTAATTTACAAGAAGGGAATTTTATTTTGTTATGAAAACAAAGGAAAAATAGATACTTTAAAATATCTATTAAAATGTATCAAGATTCTATAAGAGATGATGTCATGGAATAACAAAGATGTACAAGAGGTAGTATGAAAAAGCAGAAACAGTCTGTGACTGAAGATCTTGGTCTAAAATCCCAGCTTCACTGCTAAATTTCTAAGTCTGTAGAGGGTGTTACTTCAACACTGATTGATTAGTTGATTGACTGACTGACTCATCCATGTATTTAATTATTAGTCAGTGAGCTGGTACCAGAAGTAAGGAACAAAGCTAAATGTTGAGGATACAGCAGGATACGGGGCTGCTATGGAAGATACCAACTTTAATAATACTAACAATAGAGTGTGATGGTGCTACATAGGAGTAAAGAGTAGGTGCATCTGATCTAATCTAGAAGGGTTAAAGAAGGCTTTCTGGATTAAATAATGTTAAATTTGGACCTGAATCTAAATCCTCAACAGGAGGTAGGGAGCTAGAGTGGGAGGAATATTCCATACGGGAGAAACAGCACAAGCAAAGGCTCATAAGTCAGTGTTGCATATACATATCACATAAATGGATTGAAGAGATCATGTAATCGCTAATTATAGAGGCTGCAGTTACAGACTAGTCATTAAAAAACTACAGCACTAAAGGCAAGTAAGATGAGACAGTAATCAGAAAGGAAAGTAGAATTATTTATTAATCCAAATATTTACTGAGTATCTACTACGTGCCAGGCATTATTCTATATAGGTACATAGGTAGATCAATTGATCCATCAATGAACGAAGAAAACAAAAGCCTGGCTCTGATGAAGCTTATATTCTAAAACAGGGTAAGAGACAACAAGACGCCAAACATAACGTAAATGACATAGTACATTAGCACGTAAGTGCTATGGGTAAAGTGAAATTGGGAGTACAGGCAAGTGAGGGGTATTTAATTCATCAATTAATGAAATATTTTTCTTTGTCTTATTGAGATATAATTAACATACAGCACTGTGTAAGTTTAAGCCATACAGCATAATAATTTGACTTACATACATCATGAAATGATTATCACAATAAGTTTAGTGAACATCCATCCTCTCATATAGATATAAAATTAAAGAAATAGAAAAAAATTTTTTCCTTGTGATGAGAACTCTAAGCATTTACTCTCTTAACAATGTTCATATATAACATACAGCAGTGTTAATTATCCTTATCGTTTGTATATTACATGCCTAGGACTTATTTATCTTATAACTGGAAGTTTGTACCTTTTGACTGCCTCCATCTAATTTCGCCTTCCCCCCAGCTCCTGCCTCTGGTAACCACAAATCTGATCTCTTTTTCTATAAGTTTGTTTTTGAAGTATAATTGACCGACAACACTATGTTAGTTCCTGTTACACAACACAGTGATTTGATATTTCTATACATTTCAAATTGATTGCTATGATAAGTCTAGGCAGGACATGTCACCATACAAAGATATTACTTAGTTATTGACTATATTCTCCACACTGTACATTTCATCCCCATGACTCATTTATTTTGCAATTGGAAGTTTGCAATCCCTTCTTAAGAGTTTGTAATCTCTAAATCTCCCTCACCTATTTTTTCCTTCCCCCACCCACCTCGCGTCTGGCAACCATCTGTTTGTCTTCTGCTTCTATAGCTATTTCTGGTTTGTTATGTTTGTTCATTTGCTTTGCTTGGTGAGGGTATTTTAAATAGAATAGTTAGGGATTGCCTCAGTGAGGAGGTGGTGATTGGACCACCTCCTCTGATCTGAAGGACTTGAGGGAGTAAGCCTTGCAAATATTAAGAGGAAGCACATTCCAGGCAGACAGAGGAGCCAGTATAAAAGCTCTAATAAGGAATGTGCCTGGTACATTTCAAAACAGCAAGAAGGCTTGTGTGGCAGAACAAGCAAGCAAAGGGGTGAGTAGCAGGAAGAGGGTCAGAGAGGCAATGAGGGAGGGAGGCAGACCTGGTGGGATCTTGTAGGTCATTCTAAGATTTTAGTGGAGGGTTGCGTGTTTGCTCCCTCTCGTCCCACATACATCAGATAGAGAATCAAAGGCAAGAGTAGGCAAAAGACCAGATAGTCTAAAGAGGGCAGGGGCAACATTAAGAGCAGCGTCCTTCAGGAGGCAGCAAGAGATCAGAGTGAAGATCACAGTAAGAAGAGAGGCCTCTTTTGGAAGATGTGTACTGGAGCCTGGTCAGGAGAGGCAAATCTGTCCTCAGTGACTTTGCACTGGTAGCTGAAATTGGCTAGGGGAGTATCTACACCATGGAAAATGGCAAACACTGCAGATTGAGGCACTTTTTTCTTCGTCAGCTGGTTTAGCTGCATGCAAATAACTCTTCCTCAAAGACTGGTGGGTAACAAGGAGGAGAGGCTGGTAGCACCCTCAGACACATACTGTGGGAAAATGAAGGAAGATGAAAGCGCCAGTGACCCAGAGCCTCTTTTCTGTGAATCAACAGGAAAGTCAGACCAACTGCTTGGAGGGAAAAAAAACCACTGGGTCTGAAATAACTTATGTAGGTGGAGACTGAGCCTAGCCTTGCAGAAGAAAATAAATAAGGGAACTGTCATGCAAATGTGAAGAGAGTCAAGGCCAAATGGGTCACTATGGTTAAATTGTATGCATTTCTCTTTTTTCTCTAACTTTTCATTTGGAAGTTGGCAGGGTGGTGGTAACCTCCTCAAGACAGAAGGATTTTGAAAGTTTGTATGCTAGTCTTTGAAGAAAAAGGTTACAAGAAGGCAAGAGAATTTAGTCTTGGGGAAAGACATACTCTGGGGTCAAGGACAGAGGAGTACAGTGAAGCCAAGCAGAGTCTCATAGTTTAAGCAAAATATAAAATGACGTGGTATAAAAAGTTAAGTTCTATAAATGCCTAATGATTACTCAGAATTTAGTTTTTGATAGTTTAGTCTTCAAAAGATAACTTTCTGGGTTAAAATTATTTTTCTTTTCTTTCCTAGACAAAAATTTTAGACGGCATTTCTTTAGATGCTACCTACAAGTACTTGTTAGCTGCCTTGGGGCTCTGGAGTGAATTCTTCTGGTTTGGCAGTGAGCACCTCAGCTGCAGGCTCTTTGTTCCCTTCAGCTAAGTGGAAACTTTGAAAGGTCTGTAGATTTTGAAACAAGATTTTAAGTTAGTAATCTAGGGCACTTAAAAACTTGGATTTGACTTCATAGGACGATTATGCATAAAATGTAAGATCAAGTGCTCACAAGGTTAAATTTCAGGAAAGCCTTCCTGGATGTAAGACAAAGGCGGGGTGTAAAACGAAAACAAAAGTAGCCTGAGTTAGAGAGGTCATTCGATTTTACTCTGCCCTCAAGACTGATCCTCTCTGTCGACTGAAACAGGTTGGTTTTTTCCTTTCTTTTTTCATTCTGACTTGGATATGATTTTTTTTTAAGCTCAAAGACTTTGTATAATTACCTATGTGGAGGGAGTCTTGATGCATAAAAGTTTCCACGTGCAAAAAAGAGCTATTTGAAAACAGTTACACACTTTAAGATAAAAAATAAATATAGCAAGAAGAAAATATTATTTTAATATCATTACTTGCCTGTAAAACTTTGCTCCTAATAGGTTTTGCTATAGCATTTTTCCTGCTTTGCTTTATAAACACTATTTTTTTTTGCTCTTGTAATAATTATAAAGGCATTTAAATGTGTTCTGTGTATCTGTCAGAAGGATCATTTCTGCAAATAATTTTCATTCCTATTTTTATCTATTCACATTTTTAGTATAATTGATTTTTATTTAAAAATATCCTTAATATTCTATATTGTTTGGCCATATTATATGTTATCATCAGTTCACGATTTCTGGGATGAAAGAGAAGGAAAGAACAAAGTTCATATTGTGTTAATAATTAACATACAAGAAAACAAAGACCAGAGTAATCTTCCAGATTGGATCTGTTCAAATTGCTTTAAGGATAGTCATTTAAAATCATTGGCATCTGGTTTTTACATCATGAAAACAGTTCTATCTTTCCTCAGGGGGGCTTCTTTGCTTTACTCATCCACAAAGGGTTAGCAAGTATAAGCGTGTTCTATTGAAAATGTACCATAAGTTGGCACACTGTTTGAAAATAATATTTTCATTAATGATTCTATAAGAATCTTTGAGATTCTTCCAAGGACAAAAATAACCCAAGGGAGAAAGGCTAAGGAAAAAAGTAAAACAAAACTCAGTATTATAATAAAAACACTGAAAGTCACTGTTACATATATTTTAACGCTTGTGAATTCTGTGCCAGCTTAATACTATAGGGTGTTAATAGCCAATATAGTAAAATAACTAAATGATGGGACAGGGGATTCCTGGAGCACCATCTTTCCATACTACTGTAGCAGCTCTATACCTACTGGTAAAACTTTTAGTTTGACAAATACTTGTTGTATTTGTCAGGTATTAAATACAAAGAAAAACCCAACAGGTCATAATCTTAGGGAACTTAGAGCATAGAAGGAAAAGTACTCTAGAAAATACATCTTCCATAGAATGGGGTCAGTTCTCTGAGAGATATGTAGATACACCTACTGGGTTGCAAAAGTCTTCTGGAGTGGCGACATCCAAGTTAACTGAGTAGGAATTGGCCCTTCAAGGGAAGGGACAAGAAACAGTATATCACATAAAGGAACAGAATGAGTAATGACGTAGAGATGTGCTGCAGCATGGTATGTGCCAGAAAACTGCTGGCAAATCAGTACCATTACTGTCGACAGTGTTGGGTACATGGTAGAGGGACACAGCAGGAACCATGGGTAGGACCACATTATAGAGGGAGCCCCGGGTATGATGCTAAGGAGCTTAGATTGTATCTTTCAAATGAAGAGAAGTGTCTTTCAGGTGAGGAGCTAGGCAGGAGAGTGATTGACATTTTAGAGATACTGCACTCTGGTGGCAGTAAGAAAAATGTTATGACAAAGAGTTGTAAGGAGGGAACAAGAACAGGATGCCAATAAGTAGGATGCTGGTTAGGAAGACATCATAACAGGGCAGGTATGAGATAGTGATGGATGGACAAATTGTGTGGCTGCGTCAAAGAGCACAGATTCAAAGGAGGAGACAGATTTGAGACCTATTTGGAAGGCAAAATCAGAATTTAGGCGCTGACTGGAAATCAGGGATGAAGATAAGAGAGAAATCAAGGCTTGAGGCTTAGGTGACTAGTGGAATGACAGTGCTACCAAACAGCAGTTTACAACCAGCGTGGAGTGACCAGTTTTGGAGGGAAGCTAACTAGATGAGACTTTATTTTATAAAAGCCAACTAGTAAAATTCCATACAAATGCTGGGATAATTTATTTAAAAATAAATGTATAAACGGATAAAAGTAAAATATTTATTTTAAATAAATAATTTAATTTTAAAAATTTAATTTATTGTCAATATACTGTGTAAGAATTACAGAGTTGTATATGTAAAAGTTATAAAATGTTTAAGCCCTTTCAGTTGAAATCTAACTAAATTTTCGTATTTTAAAAACTATTTTTGTATGAAAATCATTACTTTTACTTAGGCTTTAATGGTTTAAGAAAATTCTCTCAGGATATTATTTTTATCTTCCCTCTGTAAATCTCAGTTCCTGTACACAGACTTGTAAAAACAAAGAATGAAGAATTAATCTTGGGGACATACTCTGATGTGGATTCCATTTAACAGTTTCAAAGAGTGGTGGATTCAGGCTCACATATGTTGCGGCAACAGTCTATTCTCTAGTAAAAGAATAAAACATACGCTAGATTAGAAATGTTTCCGTTTAAGCAGTATTACGATGGATGTCCTGTATTCTTTCTGCCATTTAGGTTGGAGCCATGGCTTTGGAACACAACCAGTCAGCAGATTACTATTATGAGGAAAATGAAGTGAACGACACTCACGACTACAGTCAGTATGAAGTGATCTGTATAAAAGAAGAGGTCAGAAAATTTGCAAAAGTTTTCCTGCCTGCCTTCTTCACAATAGCTTTCATCATTGGACTTGCAGGCAATTCCATAGTAGTGGCGATTTACGCCTACTACAAGAAGCAGAGAACCAAAACAGACGTGTACATCCTGAACTTGGCCGTGGCAGATCTACTCCTTCTACTCACTCTGCCTTTTTGGGCAGTTAATGCGGTGCATGGGTGGGTCTTAGGGAAAGTCATGTGCAAAGTTATGTCAGCCTTGTACACAGTCAACTTTGTCTCTGGAATGCAGTTTCTGGCTTGTATCAGTGTAGACAGATACTGGGCAGTAACTAGAGCCCCCAGTCATGGAGGAGTGGGCAAACAATGCTGGCTCATCTGCTTCTGTGTCTGGATGGCTGCCATCCTGCTGAGTATACCCCAGCTGGTTTTTTATACAGTCAACCACAAGGCTAGGTGTATTCCCATCTTTCCATACCACCTAGGAACATCCATGAAAGCATCAATTCAAATGCTAGAAATCTGCATTGGATTTGTAATACCCTTTCTTATTATGGGAGTGTGCTACTTCATCACAGCGAGGACACTCATCAGGACGCCAAACATTAAAAAGTCTCAGCCCCTCAAAGTTCTGCTCACAGTGGTCATAGTTTTCCTTGTCACTCAGCTGCCTTATAACATTGTCAAGTTCTGCCAAACCATAGACATCATCTACTCCCTGATCACCGACTGTGACATGAGCAAACGCATGGACATTGCCATCCAAATCACAGAGAGCATTGCACTCTTTCACAGCTGCCTCAACCCGGTCCTGTATGTTTTCATTGGAGCCTCTTTTAAAAACTACATTATGAAAGTTGCCAAGAAGTATGGATCCTGGAGAAGACAAAGACAAAATGTGGAGGAGATTCCTTTTGATTCTGAAGATGCTACAGAGCCAACCAGCACTTTCAGCATTTAAATGTGAAATCGTTCTGTCTCTTGCTTCGATACACATGAATGATGCTTCTCCCTCAGATCAAACATTTGCATTATTCTGAAACTCAAATCTCAAACACTGTGGTAGCAATTTAAAACAAGAAGAGGCTGGGGTGGGGAAGAGGGGTGGAGTAGAAGCCAAGAAGAAGAGGAAACAAAATGATAAATGCACAAAGCATTTACTAAAGTTAAAATCGACAATACAGGAAAACAGTAACAGGTATAAGTAAGGAAAATACTATGCTATAAGTTTGGTGGGTGATCTAAAACAGATTATTAAAAAGGCCTACATTAAGGGGTATTTATAATTATTTTATATTATCTAAATTTTAATGTAAGAACAATTTCCCTGTATAATTTTAGTACTTGAATAACTCTGCAGCAAAATTTAATCTTTTTCCTATTTCTTAATTCATAAGTGATTTCATAAAACTTCAGACAGAATAACAATTAGCAATCAAAAAATACATAAAAAGCTTTTCTGCCCCTTTTAATACATTCCTGCTAAGTTTCTAAATGTATAATTTGCTTTAATGATGTAAACTTTCTTTAGTAATAAACGTTATCCTGTTAGATGTATACTCTAGAGGCAGTCCTCAGATAATCACACTTACCTAGGTTTCAATTTTTATAACTTCCTAAAGGTCTCATCACGTATATGTCTATTACTGACGATCAGCTAAACAGTATATTTTCCTATGTATAAAGACTCTAATTTTTCACTTAAATATTTGTATTTTTCAGCAAGGAAAATATGTACCACAATAACTTATTTTTAATAATGTGTACTGCTTATCTCTTTAAAAACAGTTATATAGAAATTATTATAGTTCATGTAATATGTCCTTATTAAAATTTAATTTTGATAGAAATTACAGTGATCAAAAATAGTATGCATTAATATGAATTTTATCTTCACAAACTGTAAAAAAAAACTCTTAAAATAAACATCATGCAATCAAGATATGTAATTTTAAAATTTATCACTTTTTAAATCTGAAAATGCTTTCAAAGGCAGAATTTAAAGAACTGTGGTCATGAAACTAACAACTCTGTATGATGTTATTCCAGCAGAGCATCTGGCACAAAGGATCAATCTGAATACTCACCACTGCTCCACCATTTCTTGCCATTAATTACATAGCTGTCCCCATCTCGCTGGATGCTACATTCAATATTTGTGGCATCACTTGAAGCTACATCAGGCTCTATAAATAAGCAAAGACTGAATTTACAGGTAGGCAGATGCCATCAATTTACAAAAGAGACTTAGGTGAGAAAACGTGAACTCTTTGAGGACAGAGGCATCTTTCTATCATTTCCCCATTCCACAACCTACACAAAGTAGGTATTTAATAAATGTGCATTGGAAGAATGAATGAATGAAGTAGTTAGAACAATTCAGATCGATCAGCGATCTAAATTGTGTTCTTGGCTTCCTCACTGATACATGACTTGGGATACAACTCACTCAATCCTTTCTCTAATCATCAAAAGTACATTGAATATATTGTTCTTTGCTTCCCACAATGGAAATCTGTACTACATATTTGCAGGCCAGATTTCCCCACCATATAGCATCTTAAGCAATTTCTAACTGTGCTTGCAAATTCCATTGGAATGCTTTCACCAGTTTATTTATTTTGCATTCTATAAAGTCTGCTCAACACTTAATGTCTTCAGCAAGTTTTCCATGGGACACCTTTACAAAACTGCTTTCCCGTATGGCATTTCAGAACTTACAGGCTAGCTCTCAATCACAGTAATCTGTACTTCTTAATATGCTACTCTTTTGAATGGGTCCTTCAGTTATTTTATGTGTTCTCTTTCTAAAACTAGAGACCCAGTTTCTTTAGAAAAGGAGCTATGTACTCTACTTATTTTGTAACCTCCAGTTAGAGCTTCGTAGACAACACATCATACTGCAGGCGTTCAATAAATGCCTCTTACTGATTTAAATGGAGATCAGTTTTGCTATGATAAATGTATGCAAAGTTATAGAAGACAATAAAACCTGGCCAAAATTATGGCCAGATGAAATTTAGTTTAACTTTAAAGTCAGCTATGAAACAGTGACTTTGTCCTCTGAAGAGTTCTTAATTACTGTTTCCTATGTACAAATGGTACCAAAACTCATTTTTATTAACATGCTCCTCGTTTTATTTTGCCATATAATTATAATTTGAGCCATAGGACCAACATTGGTGAAAGTTCTGTTTTTCCGGGTTTATGGCAGAGTATTTTGGAAGTATCAATATAAGATTATCACAGATATGAATATTTCATACATTAGGATAAAAAAGATCTTAAATATCCACAGATGGCAATTTTAGAAATGCAAGTCAAAAGATTATGAAACTAGGTTTACTCTGCTGCTAATGCCTAAAGCAGGCTACTACAGAACATTATTTAATGAGAGGACAATTTTATTTTGCACATTTAAAAATGTCAAAATTTAAAACTGGAGTCAAAGCAAACATAGTCACATTTCTAGCCATGGGAAAATTTGCCTGAAACACAGAGCCACATCCCACACTTCATCAGTTCATCGATAATAGCCCAGGAAGAGTGACTACGCAAGGGAGAAGGTGGCTGACTTGCTTTTACCTGTCATACAGAAGCAGGAGGCAATGGTCCCTTGAAGAAGAGGCTCAAGCCACTGCTGCTTCTGCATCTCACTTCCATACAGGTGGAGCACCTCCATGTTCCCGGTGTCTATACGTAAGAAGGAGAAGCACTTGTTTTGCATTTAAAAACTTACCAATATGAGATCCAAACTCCGTATAGGTAATACAGACATGCATCCTTTTAAAGCTAATGTTTGCTAACAAAAATATTTTGAAACATAAGAATAAATCTAATTTACAATGAAGGTATGCCATAAGCAGTTGTAAGCACATGGCATTTGGTGCATATTTATTCAAATTGTTCTGAATCATAGATGCTCATCCACTTCATCCCAATGAAGCTCTAAGAGGGGTCTAACTCAATTAGGACTGAGGGAAATAATATACTAGCCCAACCTTTGCTTGCTGTCTTGCAAATACAGTCTGCTAGGAGTGACTGCAATTCTCCTGGAGAACAATTAACATTACATATTTTACTGAGACTCCAGCCTTGAGACCCCTGTTCCTCAAATACACCTGTGCTTTCTAACTTCCTTATATTTGCTTGCACCAGGCCTTCTCTCAGAGGAAATTCTGTCATTCCTAGTAAATTTCTGTTTGAGCCACCTTCATTGTGAAGAATCTGCAAGCATCCAGTCAGACATCTCTCTTTCCTTTGACCTCACATGGTAATTATTGCCTCTTTACTATAACATTGCTTTTACCTTCATGCACCCCATACCATCTAGGAAGTACTAAGGCATCTGAAGATACCATACACAGGACCCATGTCCTGGATGGCAAATGGCGGGAGGTAATGCCAAAGGCCCTCTCCAGCCCTCGGAGGGCATGGTGCAGTACATGACACACTGCTGTGTCACTCACGTGGAAAAGGATGCTTCGTGTCTGCCGCAGAGCAAAATGCTCCAGGTGCCTTTCTCTGATTTTCATCCCCATCAAATTTCTAAAAATACTATCTAAAACCTTACCCTTGAATACTGATGGCTTTTAAGATTTTGAGGAAGAATTTTTCAATATCATCACTTGCAATGACTTTAAAGACAGTCACTGAAATGCCTATGCAAAAGCAACTAGGTCTAAGTTAAGTCTCAAAATATGTTTGTACTCTGTTCCAACATCCCCAAAGGAGCCAAAGTTATATTAAAATGTACAACATTCCTGGTAGATAAACACAAGCTTAAAATTCTGTTTAAGTGAGGGAGAGAATGAGTCCTGAGTTATAATTAATGAGCTCATGGTTTTCTTTGCTTGTTTTAAATTCAGTTTTCTCATTTAGTTCAAATGAAATAAATATTGAATGAAATCTTTCCAAAAATTAGTTTATTCTGAGAAGCTGACAAAACAAAGCTATTATTTGTGGGTTGTATTATCATGGAATAGCTTCACACAATGAGAAAAAATCTTTAGAAACTCTGGGAGTAGGTTAATTTTACAATAGCCTCATTATTAAATTAAAATGTAGTACAGTAGTAAATCAGTGTTTTGAAGAGAGAAAAGGTGAGGACCTGGGACAAGTTCAACCATCATCGCAGGTTTCCAAATTATCTTAACAGTACCAAAGAAATGAGAGTCGAAGTCCAGAGTGGGAACATTTTGCCAGGCAACCAGACAGTGTTTTCTCTGACATCCAATATACCTCTTTCTGGCATTTCCACCTTCATTAACTCTTTTTGGGAGAGCATTAGCACCAGGGCCATAAAATTAGCACAAAGGACAATGATAAGGCCTAGCTTGTGCAGAACCACTATAGGACCACCATCCCTTTACAAATCAAATGCTAGTCTTTGACTGGAAGCAGCAGAATAACCAGAGTAACTTGGGGAAAAAAAAAAAGACAAAGACATTCTCAGGGTCTGCCTTAAACCTCCTGAATCAGAATCTCGAGGGCTGCAGTCTGTGCATTTGAACATTTTTTTTAAGTTATTTAAGGGGTTCTTCTGCAAATATGGATTTGAAAACACCTTCAAAAGACTACAGTCCAGGTTTATTCCTCCCATAGTAACTTTTTAAAGAAAAATTGGCCTCTTTCCCTCTTCCTTCCAATTTTTCATGCCAAAGTCCTTTAAGGGATCCTTGACTCTCCTATTAATTCCCCCAAACCAATACGTAAATCCTCTTGGCTCTGCCTTCAAAATATATTTAGATTCTTTCCGCTTCTTACCCCTTCCGCTGCTACTGCCCTACTGCCCTGAACAAATCACCATTATCTCTCACCAGGACTATCACAACAAGACTCTCTGCTTCCCTCCTTCCTTCTGTTAATTCTCAACATAGCAGTCAAAGGGATCCTTTTAAAACTGAAGTTACACCTTGTCACTGCACTGCTCAAATCCCCAGTGGCTTCCAATTTCACTAGAAGTATAAGCCCTTACCTGCCCGTTAAGTCCCAGCATATAAGGCCCTTTCCTCTCTGATACCTTCTACTATTCTCTCCAGCCACAATGGCCTCCTTCACTGATCCTGAAATACACCAATCACGCTCTTGTTTAGGGCCTTTGCATTTTCTGTTCCTTTTGTTAGGAAAACACTTAGCCCTGATACCAGCATGGCTAACTCTCTCACCTTCTTTATCTTAACTGAATGTCATTTTCCCAATGACATTCCCAACCATTCCATCTACTGTAATCCACGTTCCCTATCCCTCAGCTCTCCTACACTGCTGGATTTTCTTTTCCCCAAACCACTTTTCAGCTTCAAACTTACTGTATAATTTTCTTATCTATCTATTGTTTATTTTTGTCTCTCTTCGTTAGAATGTCAGCACCATGAGGTCAGGAATCTTTGTGTATTTTATTCCATGATAAATCCCAAGTTTCTAAAACAGTACGTGGCATATAGTAAATAATAAATAAATAATTGGTAAGTAAATGGAGAGACAATGAGGCTAATCAAAAGATTTAGAACTCTATCCATTCTAACTAACCACAGAAATATTCAATACATGATCAGTAAACTGAAAACCTCATACTGCTAATTCCTTGGGTGGTGACTTCTATTCACTAATATTCTTAATGTAATGATGTTTAACAAAAGAATAACCCAATGAGTACTTTAGATCCACTTTTAAATATTTAAATCAAGATAACTGAAAAGCCAAACTAAAGAGAAATTTATAAATCAGTGACTTTGTGCAGAAAAAAACTTCCTTGTCATAAAACAGAAAAATTTTAAACACTGCTCAAAATATCTAAGGAACATTCTGTTTTTAAATAATGTAATAGTAACCTGGTGCTTGGCAGTTAAAGACATCTGGAGCAAGAAAGCATTTTCCTGTTTCTTCAGCAATCAAGGCATAGTCCACCTGGCTGAGACCGCTTACAGCTGGCAAAAACAAGTTCCAGAGGCCTTCTGCTTTGGCCATTTCCTGTCAAGGTGATGAATATGCCAGAGTGAGCATAATTTATCACGACCTAAAATAGTTTATTTTTAAAAGATATTAGCATTTATGTTGTTTAAGCTTATGAAATTATTTATTTCATTGTATCCTACAGTGTGCAAAACCAAGTGGTTATTAATTCATTATAAATCAACAATTTCATAATGGTTAAATAAGTGACTTTCCTTCAAGCTTCATTAGATTTGGCTGAAAAACTTGAGTACTTCTTACTGAATCATAGTTATTATAAAATAGCCTACATCTGAATATAATTATGCCAAAAATACTTAGTTCTGAGTATTTTAATTTCTAACATGTGTTCCTGTTAGAACTGAAGACATGAAACTTGGATTGGGCCCATATGGGACAAATGCCCTGCCTCAAAATGCAGTCTCAACTAAGTGACAGACGGTCGTCATAGTGTTAATTGCATTTTTTTCTTTGAACAGCTGTATGAATTTGTCTTTATCATACAGGCTACACAAAACACTGTAACCTAATTTGTATATTATGGATTTTATTTTTAACTTTCTTTTTAAAAAGTTGTAATTGATATAATTATCCTCTACATATATAGCAGCAGCAGCAACAACAAAGGTCTCTCAAAAACACCTGCATACAAATTCTCCAATTTTAAGGTTCTCCTATTTTTCTTACCTTGAGTTTATCAATCACTAATGGTTTTTTCCACTTATCCACTGAATTTCCATTTTGAACATAGAACTCAATTACCTCCTTAAAGTATAAAAGAAAAAAAGTTCATTAGCT